ACACATACTGCTACCAGGCTACTTTAACCATACACGAGGCTACAAGGAGGCTTGCATTTTACTTTAACCACGCACAAGGCTACATTTTTGACAATGGCATCCTTGCAAGTACAGTAGCTACCGAAAATGGTCAGGGAATGGTTTTATATGTCAAAAATAGCTGCTATAAAAATACAAGTATTGAAACATATATTCATTTTAAATGACTGGCAGATGATTCTTCGTGTAGCAGCCATTCTTAGTATCTTAGAGGTATAACTGCATCATATAGAATCATGCATTATCATTCTCTAAAGGTTGGCCAAATAAACAGATAGATGAACTATTCAGATATTTTAAAGAAAGGTAATTTACAAATTTTAAGGTGAACATCAGGTACAGTACCGCCTGAAAGTATTTACCCATTAGGACGCGCGTCCTTGCCGAAGTGTTCTGACGCGAATTCACCGCGGTGGGATGAATTCCTCAACCTCGTCCTGGACGGACGTGACCGAACGCCGTGGAAATCAAAACGCGGTGTATCATGGTGAAGAAACAATACAAGCTAATTTTTTTTGTTGAAAAGTGTTTCCTTATTGATTACTCTTACGCGTGAAACGTCAACTTGAGCATCCAGCGTCGCTGGCTTTTCCGCCGACAAAATGTAGCAGTACCGGTTGTAAAANAAAAGTGTTTCCTTATTGATTACTCTTACGCGTGAAACGTCAACTTGAGCATCCAGCGTCGCTGGCTTTTCCGCCGACAAAATGTAGCAGTACCGGTTGTAAAATGCACATGCATGCCAGGTGTTACAAAATACTCCTCTATCAGAATCTTCTTAATTTATTTAGTGTACTCCTCTCTTTCTCTCTCTCTCTCTCTCTCTCTTTTTCAAAACACACATTCAATTGCAAGTTTATAGACGGCAATGGCTCAGTTAAAAAGCAACATGACATTTACTGTATCGTGCGTGACGCCTTATTTTTGCATAACGTGCAAAACAAACAACGCGACACAAGAAGATCGCTTTTGTGCTACTCAACAGATGTCAAGATATTTGTTTTTTCTTTCACTTTTGCCATGCAAAAATTGAAAAAGAAGACGCCGAAACATTTCGCTAACTTCGTCAAGTTGCCATCACTCGCTACGTCAGCATATTTGTGACATTACACGGAAAAACGTACATTAGCCCCTATTCGTTAAGCGGGCTAAAATAAACGGATAGTAAACGCCTTTAAAAGCGTTAAAACGTTTCCTATGACGGTTATTGAATCTCGGTAAACGGCTTGGCAAACCGTTCGAACGGTTAGCGAAAATTTTCAAACGGATGACTGGAAGCGTTAAAACGGGTGGCAAAAATTTTGGAACGGATAACTTCAAGCGTTAAAACGGCTAGCAAAAATTTTGGAACGGATGACTTGAAGCATCTAAACGGCTAGCTCATGTGTTTAAACGGTTGACCTCAAGTATTTGAGCGGTTAGCCAAACTTTTCAAACGCTCAACTTCTCGATCGAAGGGTCACTGACTTAGCGCGTGGTCAGCAAAATAGCCAAAATATTTCAAACCATAAGCGCTCGAGAGCAGTAAGAGTTTGATTCTAATTAATCATCAGTAAACTGGATATAGATAATAAAATTCAAAGGAAGCGAATAACTTCTGACGGTTGGAAATTGTCTGTATGTCGAATTGTCACGAAAACAAAAACACAATTCTGTCCATGTTTGTTTAATCAAAGTCATTGTATGCAATGCCAATCCAGAAACATTTCCAACCAAATTCCGTCGAAACAAACGAAGTAACCTCCACTTACAAATTATTTTCAAAAAAACACGATTTACTATCAATAAAAATACTACATAAATGGTAGACGAGCAAGCATGTTCAAGAGCAGAAACCATCCGTGCCACAATGCCACGAATTGTTACGCAAAATTCACACGTGACGAGAGTAAAAAAACTTTTCCTTCGCGCGTCGAGTTGTTTGGCTAGTAATTTTACTGGTTATCTGCACTGCTGCTGCCGTAAAAGTTGTCCCTGAATTGTTGAAATTTAAAGTTCTCCCCAACGCTTCCGTGATTTTACGTCGCAAGAACTTCTTGAAGTTTTATAATTCAAAAATGAAGTGCGACATTCTTAGTTTACTGACTCCTTGCGATCGGTCGTTTCTAAAATTAAGTAGTTTTTAAAAACATTCCGAACAGTGATTTTCAGCTATCTGTTTATTGATTATGTACAACCGTTACACGTTGTGGCTATCCGTTTAACGATTTCGTTAAACCGATTAACGTTTTCCTTTAACCGTTTAACGTTTTCAGAATTCCGTTTGTGATTTTTCTAAACCCGTTTAACGTTTCCCTCAATCCGTTTATAGATTTTGTCAAACCGTTTAACGGTTTTGGCTTTCCGTTTAAACAGAAATACAAAGCGTTTAAACGCTTGTGCTAACCGTTTACCAACCGTTTACAATCCGTTTATTTTCACCCATTTAACGGAAAACCGTTAGTGTCCGTTTTTGCTTTCCAGGTCACAAGTCATTGCCAAAGTACATGTAGTCGGCGGATCCACTCAGCTATCACCTCGTGAATCCACAGCTACTTTGACAATTATGACAAAATTTATGATCAATAACAGGACAGATGCAGGAAAAACTGACAACAATTTGTTAAGGTTACTGTAGACCTTCAGGGGTGCCTTCCGGAAAACGCTTTCTCTACGCACTGCTCTAAAGAACTATATATCAATGTAAAGCTAATAAACTGTAGAATCCGAAGATAACAAAATATTTTGCTATTTTTGTTTTAATAGGCACGCGCAAGCCTAAAAACGCAAAAGTGACCGTACTTGCTAAACCGAATTACCAGCTTTCGTGTTACCGCGGACATCTGAACTGACTGGACACCATCAATCACGAGATGATGGGCTAACAAAGGGTGTGAGGCTTTTTCGATATTTCTATTGGTTGCTTCGAAAATTGCTTTCAAAGTTGGACGATAGAAAATTTTCTGACTGCTGTTACTCAATGGGACGTCAAAGGAAAAATATTTTGCTTTTCGCGAAAGCCTCACACCCTCTGGTGCGCTAATATCTGACGAACATTTTGGCCAAGTTTCGTTGAAATCCGATAAATCTACATACTCTATTAATTTATTTGAATAGAGGTAATTCACGCAAAAATAAACCTTAAGTTTTCGGCCTCGAAAGAAATTCACAGTTTTCGCACCTCACTGAAGCGGTTGTCAACGTGGCCATGCCGCCAACCAATGAAACGCAGCTTTAAACTTCCCAGCGGGCTACAGTAAGGCTTTCCGGGAATAAATGTGCAATGTTTACATTTACAGTATATCTTTATATCTTACATCGTCTGCCGTGAAACATGCAGCATCTAAACCGAATCAGCGGATAAATGGTAAAGAAGGAAAAGGGAAAAAAGAGGAACGCTAGCGGAATAGCCCTGAGCAGGCCTACTCGGCGAGCCGAGTCGAGTGCGGATATTTACACATGTACGAAAAAAACTAAACGTGCAATTCATCGGCCTGTTTGTTTTAGTAGAATATGGAAAAACA